AAAAAAAAAAAAAAAAAATAACACAACAATGATTTCATAAAAAAAAATTCAAGACCTTAAAAATTTACCCTTCTTTTTTTTTTTCTGGATGATATAGAAAAAGCTTAGAATTTTCTGATCAAATTTATCATCAATTCTCAAAAATAATAATCATTTTTAAATCTATTGTTTATATTTTTTAAATTTATTTGTTTATTGCATGTTTTAAAGTTTTCCTTCTTTTCTTTCTTTTTTTTTCTGTTTTTGTTTTTATTTTTTTCATAGGATATATTTATTTGATTGGTAAAATTTTTCCTTTTTTTTTTTTCAATTTCAATCATCAAATTTATATTGAGTAATTAAATCATTTACAGCATTATTGTAAGTATTTTTCAAAGGTTAAAGATCAAAGCTTGAAAATTTTATTATTAGTATTGCATAAATTTTTTTTTTTATTATAATTTGTTTTCCACTATTAAGTTTTAAATTTGCTAGATATTACTTTTAAATGTTAATTTTCAAATAAACTTTTCAACAATTTGCAATTTCCTAACCTTGAATTTTATTTCAATCCCATATTAATGCCAAGAAATAAGTAAAGGAAATTTCTTTCTTTCGTTCTTTTTTTTTTTTTTTTGTTTTTTAAACACAATTTTTTGTTAATAAATTTGCAATAAAATAACATAAAGCGATAAATCACTTTACGTGTTATAATTTAACCTTATTTTCTTGCATTTCTTTTTTTTTCTTTTTTCTCCTTCCATCCCTTCTCCCCCAATTAAATCAATTTTTTAATTATTGATTAATTTTCCGTTTTTTTCCTTTTTTTTTTTGTAAATTATAATCTGAAAAAAAAAAATTTTTTTTTCCTCAAATGAAAATTCATTCAGGTTGGCCAGCAGTCAAAATTCGATTAACAAAACATGGTGTGGAACATATCAAACAAGTGGGGGTGAAAATTTTGAATGAGGAAATTTCACGATTAAGTGGATTTCGAACGTTGCATTCCTTCTCTGAGCATGGTTAAAAGCTTTTAATTTTTATTAATTTTTAAACTATCATTAATTAAGATATATATTGCTTCTTTTTTTAAGGAAAGAAAAAAATTCAAATTTCAATTTAATAAAATAAACTTTAGGTGTAACAGGACGTGTTCAATTGTATAATGTTAATGTGTTACGTTATTCACCACCACGATATACATCACTTGAATTTGTTTCACCATCTTATATTATTTTTCAAATGGATCGAATGGATATCGCGTAAGAATTCTTTTCTCCACTTTTTTTTTTTTTATTCCTTGTTTTTTTGTTATATCTAATTTTATCATCAATGATAACTTTAAAAGGAATGATAGAAACAGATAGGATAACAGGTAGAATAAACAGGTAGGATAATTAATATAAATCCGATTAAAATGTGAATGAATTTTTGTAATTGTATAATAAAACAGCTATAAAAGCTTTCCTGATTAATTAACAAATCGATTGTCTCATAAATCTTCAAATGATCCGACAATTTTCATGAATTTTTAGTGAATTTTAGAAATTCAAGAAGATTCCCTTGAATTTAGTGCCAGATAAAATTCATCACACCACTGTTAACTTATCCCTTACCATAAATTGGAAAATTGGAATTATTTGAAGAGAAATAGATTGACAAAAAATAAGCAAATAAAATAAAATAAAATAAAGGTGTAATTTTATGATAATAAATATGAAGTAATTTTAGCTTAGCTGGCCGATTTGCTGGAACGGTAGCACTGTTACCAATAACCGGTTCTGTAACCGGTGATTTACGACAAATGAGCGTTCGATTACAAACAAAATTTAACAGAGCTCATGATGGTTTAATCGAAGTGAAAGTAATTAAAATATAATTTTTAAAATTATAAAAATGAATGATTTGAGGAGCTGATAGTAATATACCATACTGCGATATATTACTTCAACCTTTTCTTCCTATACCTTTCTTTACCTGTACCTTGTATCTTCCGAAATAATTTCATTTCAGGTTGTTGGCTGTTCTACCATTGTTCCGTACAGTCATTTTTCCATAAGCGCTAACGGTGCATTAAATGGTTTCGTGAAAATGATTGAGGTATGATAGTTTATTCTTTTCGTAATTACAAATTATCATACACTAAACATTTCATATGTTTATTACTATTAAATGGATATTTTAAATGTATGTTATGTTTTTCAAATACTTAAAATACTTAAAATTTATTCGATTAATTTTATTTACACTTAAAATTTATTTGATTAGGCGAAATGAAGAGAGGCACGAAAAATTT